ATGGCCAGGGTGGAAGGCAGCAGCCATCATGAAGTACATGCGTTTTTTATGCTGCATGCATGTTCGGAGCTGGGTGTAAGGATAGTTCAGGCGAGAGAAGACCACTGATCTTTGCTTTACAACAATGGTCTGCTTTTCAAGCGTCCTAACAGAAAGCGCTACCAACAAAATCTCAGTAGAGGTCTAAGGCTTGTTAAACATGAAAGCAATTAAGCCTTGCTCAACCAACGGAAGCGGCTGTTACAAAGTAAATTGTTCAGTGAAGTATGCACTTTTACGTATACTTTGATACAGGTGTTTCATTCATTAAGCATGTAGCATTTAGGTTTGTGTAGCAAAGCTGAAACAGGGCTTGTGGGGTGATGTTCTCCTAGTCTCGCTCATATGCATGCTTGTCTGGTAGTTTCTCTGATACCAGCTATCGGGCAGAACACAAAATGTGTGCATTGTTTTCACTTGCTTTCGTCTTCCGTTGTAGGCGGTCAAGGGTAAGCACAGTTGTGTCACAGAGCTTATTTTTCACTGCTCATGAGTGACATAATTATGGCTAATATGCGAAGTCTTAATGACAAGCACAAAAGAAAATTAAAGAATTCGAGAATCCACATGAAACAGTCACAACATCTTAACAAGCAAAGTGGCTTTACAGTTCCTTCATTGTCCTGCTATGTGTAACACGCTCTTTGCATTATTTACCATTGCCATTGTATGAAAACATCAAATCATTTTAACTGTTACACTGTCTGTTAACACGATTGTTGAAAAAGATTGCTAAATAAACTGAAACGTCTTTGACACAATTTCAATGTTGTCTCATGTATGTTTGGTATTCTAACCTGCATAAACTTTGTCGAGAAAACATTCTTTTGCGTGAATGACAATTATGTGCTGACCTCCTTAATATCACCGAAAATTGTCACTGCCTCAAATGTGGTGTTTTAGACCGTGTTTTTGTCATGTGTGCTGGTAAAGCATGATCTTTAAGATCAGTTTTGGAAATCGAACCACATAGGCTTCGATCTGGTTAAAGCCTCCAAGAAATAGCAGCCCTTATTGCAGTGGTTCTTGGTTATGCATGTTACAGGGACTGCGGGTTTAACTGATGGGGTAGCCCCTTTCAGTGAGAGAAAGAGTTCTAATCCTTTAAAGACTGATTTTTTTTTGTGATATTCTCTCTGAAAACGAGTATTTTTTATTGCTGAGTTAAGTTCTTTACATGATAGTACAGTAAAACCTCCTTAATTCGAAGTCGCTGAGGCTGGGTGAAATCTTTGGATTAAGTGCGTTTTCGAATTAACAGAACATACAAAAAGTGGGATGCAAGGAACTTAATACTATTCAAAGTTATCAGGGCTTGTCATTTGCAGTGCCGGCTAGCTTGCGGCTCCAAGGGTTACGTTTTCTAGCAACACCTAGCCTTAATTTTGCCGCAAACACGGGGCAACGGTCAACCTCGCTGCTGCCACAAAAAAAAAAAAAAAAAAAAAAAAAAACACACTGTCGTGATAAACGGAAGTGTGTACCTGCTGAAAACAAGACATCTTCACTGCAACACAGTAATCACACGCGGGCAGTATGTCGCCTGCTCGTCGCTGTGTCAGCATGTCATGATGCGACTATTCGCACACTTTTTCTGGTATAATTAGAAATTCAATAATGGCCAGTATGACGAAACTCGCAACGTGTTTTGGCTGAAAAAAAAAATTATCTTTGAAACCCACTTAGAAAGGGCAGTGCAAAAACACTGGGAAAAGAAGGACAGTAGAGACAGTAGAGAAACTTTTGAACTTAGTTTTCGAGGTAGGTGTTGCTGGCAAGAAGTCCGCCAGCAGTGGAAAGGTGTGAATTGCTGGAGCAACCAGCAATCGGAGGTTCGCAGACATCGCGACTTCCGCCAAACTATCCTTTGTTAATTTTTTTACAATCCCAGAAAGAATGAGTAAAAACCATGACCCACTGACGTTGCGAGAAACATGATATGCTACCCGGGTCGTTTTTCGCTGGCGCACGTTTTGGTTTATCACGAGACATTTTTTTTATCACGAGACACTTTTTCTCAATTTTTTTCGCGCTGGAAGTAGCGAGGCTGGGGTGCTTCAGCTGCTACTCATTAGCATCGCTATGTTGCCTTGCCTTGTGGCTATTAACGACCATCGTTTCTGCGGAATTGCTGTGAAATCGGATCTGGAACTGGCACATGGCACCCAAAGTTTTCGAATTAACTGGACTGGTGGCGGCCGCCGCTTCGAATTATCTACTCATACTTGCATAGCAAAATACGGGACCACGGAAGTACTTCGAATTAAGTGGGGTTTTGAAATAACTATAACCGAGTTCGAAATAATGAGGTTTTACTGCATTTAAGAAAGGAATTGTCAGAAACGTTTTTGCGTGGCCGTAACGTTACAAAAAATAATTTTTGTTACATATATATGATTTATTCGTGAGTAACATCAAGCAAAATAGTAAAATAAAACACTCCTATAAGTTTTTTTATAAATAAAGATAATGCTTTGCATTAAACGTAGGTCACATACGAAAATAAGCACACCAGAGTATTTTTTCGATCAAAAATGTTTCTACTATGTATAACTCTAAAACTTAGGGTGTAGTGACCCTTGATTCAGTCCACATATTCTCGCTTCACACACTTTCAAGATGTCGCTCCGTCATCATCATCTGAGTCTGAACTTGAAAATAAATCCTCGTCTGATGAACTGACATTCAATGAATTGGATTCTGATTTGGTACTTTGGGAATAGGTTTGCAGGCACCAGAAGTGATAACCACATGAAAAACAAAACCAAAACCAGCTGCACCCCGTATGCACATGCTCGAATCTGCAAACGAAATCCGGCACGCTACTTTAGAAAAAAAAAAAGAATAACAAAGAGACATCAGCACATGAAAAAAACTTCACGTATTTCCAAAGTGTGGCAGCACATGTCAAGCAAGAAAATTGATCAAGAAAGGCACACATTTTCAACATGCATGCAATGACGTACAGTCTGCTTCACACGTGGGAAAAATCTCGTAGTTCATGGCTTCGCGATGTGGCCATGATGTGGCCAGCGTGGCAGTCATGCGCTGGCAGCTGCTCGCGCGTGTGCAGATGCTTGAGAGGGGTAGTGCTGAACGGTTCAACCGGGTCGTCCGCTGCAGCGGTGTGCGCTGGTTGCATTGTAGGGCAGCGGGCAAATTTCATCGTTACCTAGGGAACTGGGCCGATATCACTCATCGCGTCACTGTACAACTCACTATCATCCAAAGTGAGTGCCGTCAACGCTACTGCTGGGGAAATGACAAGGTATTAAGTGAAGTTGGAAGCTTCATGCCTGCATTTCACCAACGGCAACTAAGTACTGCCTCATGTAATGAAGGCCATCGAGAAGAAGCATTTTCAGGTCGTTGTCTTAACCTACAGCATTACTGAACTCGTTATTCACTGTTTCGTTGTGGTAAACGTGCAAAGATGCACGTCATTCACTGTACAGTGTTTCGTTTTTCTTTAACGTGAAATAACTCTCATGCATGTGTGTGCTCATTATGGTAGTCTCAGTCGCTGTGCACTACAGTGCACACACAAACAATAAATATACACCAATGCTCTCAGTACCACGGCGTTTTGAAAGAGCAAACGATGTACTTATTCAAATGATGTTTTTAGAACCCGATAATTGCTAATGGAGGCTGGCAGGTTGGCATTGCCCAACGTTTAGTACAGAATATCGGCCTAGTTCTTGCTGCAACAGTGCAATCAGCAGTCTTCCCGATAATGTGGCCAGCGCACACTGCTGTTGCAGATGATGCGGTTCAACACCACGACCCTCAAGCACCTGCGCATGCATGAGCTGCTGCCGGCACGCGACTGCAGCACTGGCTGTATCGCAATGCCATGTGCTCCGAGATTTCCCCTAAGTGTGAAACAGATTGCACATGTACGATATAAGCCCTTTGGTGCCAGTTAGGTGATGCCATACATGTATGGCATAAACCCTCAAAGGGTTGAATTAATCCGAAATGCAGCATAAAATGACTATCTTTAATTTCTACCTTGTAATGAGTGGTCTAATAAAAGTGCCACGTCAATTCAATCTCACCATTTTGTAAATAAGTTGTGCTTTCTGCAGCAACATTCTTCCCATTTCTATCCATGTTTGCTTTTTAAATATGCTGGCTTGGAACAGACATTTTTGCAAGGATATCTCGTAGAAAACAGCAACAAAAACTTCACAGCCATCTCACGAAGATGGAGAGTCATAAGTCAGCTCCGCCGCAACGCGAGCTTGTTATGCACTGAAGCGTACAAAAAAATGGGAAGAGGCCGCTCTCATGGGACATAATGTGCCTTCAAAAAAACTTTTTTTTCGACCATATAAGTTTTACAGACGCCCATTTGAAAACCACTGCTTTACTGCATAACTTGGACACCACACAGAGGTATGTATGTTAGCTAGCAAGTGGACTGGCCATCGCAGTTATGCCGCCAAATTTAGATTTAAAATTTGAGACCAAGGTTCTGAGGTTCTACTTTACAAATTACTGAGCTTTACACTTATCTGATTATTGAGTCTGTCAAGCATGGCTACAAGCAGTGGCATTATCATGGCATTTCATTTGCTTGGCACCTTGGTATGTACCCTGAGCTGTCAAATGCATATTGTCCATGAAATGAGAAAGCATGCAAAAAGTGCAACAATACTTCATTGTATTGTACTCATTGCACACCCCAGTACAACAGATCTGCAGCTTGATAAGCTGTATTTATTTCTTTGCTTATATGTATGTGCTAATGGCAAACTGCTTTGATGGACTCGTTTATGACAGTCTGGTACGATGGAGGAAATTCGAAGCAGGGGGGGGGGGGGGGAATTATGTAGATATGCCACAGAAAACCTATTGATGCTAACTTGGCTATGATTCTTTTCATACGGGCAATGTACAAAGTTTCCGGTTAATTTTTATGTAGTCACCTGGCTGTGTAATTCTGGTCTTTGCAGTCTGAACGGGTGCTCTCCTTCGTGCCTCCAGATGGCAATTTCAGGCTCATGTCCTACCACATAGGATCCCAGAGGTAGGAGGGTGTTTTAGGAGTTCTCATTATACCACAGTTGAGCCCCTTTATTGGAGACATGCAGCAAATGTCTTTTATACGATGTGTCTCCCATAAGCAGGACACTATATACACACTCTCTATAAACTGCTAAGTCAATGTAGGCAGGCACACTGGTGTCTTTTATACCTAGTTGTATGTTGCGTCATTCTCTCTTATAAAGGGGTTTGACTGTATTCTGTTACTAGTGTAAAGGTCTGAGAACTAACTTTGTGCTTGTACATGCTGTTACTAGTCTAACATAATGTAATTTACTGTAGTGAGATACAAGTTTTAACTTTGCAACTATGCAAGGAAGGCCTCAAGAATGAATTTTAATTAAGGATTATCCTGCTCTGCACATGACTCCAGACTGGGGCCATCCTTTGCTGTTCGCTCTGTTCATTTTATCATGACATCTGTATTAGTTGTGTTAGATTGTCTCTTTCACTGGTCATTATTATTAAATTGTCTAATTTACACCAAACATGCCTGCTGTATGGGAAAGCTCATAAATTATGACATCTGTTCACTTGCAAAGCTGTCCTGTTGCGGTCAGATTGTACACATGCACAGTAAAAGCTGCACCAGTTGTATAATCAATGTGAACTCTACCGTACACCAGGGTTGCCAGTCATGGAGTAATTCTACTTGTTTGGTATTTGTGGAACGTTTCAGCCAGGGTGGTGTAGGGTGTTAGTGTAATAATGTTGGGTAATCTCACCATTTCGCTCATAATTGAGCAAAGGAAAACGTGGAAGATCCGCACGACATATTCATAGATTCCATTCCTGGAGAGATCCAAATTAGAGCTGTCTTAATTTCAATGTCATCACCGCAATAGACGAAAGGTAATACGTCAAACATCCGTCTGCTAAGTTTTTTTCTTGGGATGTTTTTTTTTCTCTCTGTGCCATCTCACATGTAATCATTAAGTGGAGATGCTTTGGAATTTCGCGTAGGTGGTTGGCTTCAGTTATTAAGGCGGAAGCTTTACGTGCTCCATCTTACAAAAATGTGATAATCGGTCTTAACGCAACTGTTGCAAAAAATTATCATGACACGTGTAGATATGCAGAAGAGAACGACGATGGAGATGTTTTGCAGACTCTGGGTAGCGGGACAGGAGGTTGGAAAAAGGAAGAGGAAGAAGGCCTTTGCTGTACAGTTGATTCTGAAACACGCTGTTTCATTGTCGCAAGTTTCTGTGTTTTGTTCTCGCTACACTGCGACACTGGTGGAGGTGCTGGCCCGTGACCCCGCCTGATGCTCCACACTCTCACGGAGAGCCATTCATTGAGCTCGGACGCACTTGTGGACACTCCCGGGCATCGCTTCAGCAGTCGCTTGAGAGACCTCCCTCAAGAGTTCACCCCTTCGCAGGAACACTCTACAAGGCACCGCTCACATCTACCAATGGCCACCGCCAGTTCACAACAGTTACTACAAGACAGTAGTTCGCCAACCCCATCTCAGGTAACCCTTTTTTCTTCGCTGATGCCTGATTGCTTTGGTGGTGGAGCACATGAAGACGTCGAAAACTGGCTTGATCACTATGAACGTGTCGCCAACATCAACCAGTGGTTTCTTGAACAAAGGCTCTCCCGCGCCTATTTCTATCTCGATGACGGTGCTCGTACGAGAACAGAGAAAGCAGTTTGTCAACATGGAGTGACTTTAAAAGGGGGATGATTGACACATTTGCCAATGTTGACCGGCGCGATTGTGCGCAGCATTTACTCGAGCTACGGGTTCAGAAACCCAATGAAACAGTCGCAATGTTCGCTAAGGACATGGCCCGTCTCTTCCGTAGAGTTGACCCACACATGACCGACGAAAAAAAGTTACGCTGCCTCATGTGCGGCGTTAAAGAGCAGTTGTTCACTGGACTTTTGCGGAACTCGCCAAGCACCGTGACGGACTTCATCAAAGAAGCTACGGCTATCGAGCGGGCGCTTCACCTATGATGCCGACAGTACAATCGTTTGTCCACCAGCGCCCACATTCAAGTCGCCGCTACGACATCTGACAGTCAAAGCTCGTTGTGCGATTCAATACGAGAGATTGTTCGCGAAGAGCTGCTGAAGCTGCAGACTCTGGTAATGGACCCACTCACGGCGTCTGTTGCTGAAGTCGTCCGCGAAGAAATATGCCATGCGTTTTCATCCGCTGATCCTACTTACGATCGGCGACCCATGAGCTACGCAGCCGCGCTTCACCGTCCGCCGCCCATTGCGTCGTCATACCGCCGGCCATTAGCAGCCGTTCCTTGGACGCCACCGCAAAAACAGACACCGCTGCGCCCTGCCGTTGTGCCGCCATATGAAATGCCGCCGTACGAAGAGCCGTCTCCCAACGAGACATGGAATTTGCCATATTACGAGCCGTTGCGGCGTCCACAGCTTCGTAAAACAGACGCCTGGTGCACTTTAGATAGGTGTTCGCTTTGTTTTACCTGCGGAGGTGTGGGCCACATTTTCCGTCACTGCTGGCACCGCGTGGGTACGTTTCGACCTCTTCGGCAATGGTCTGACGATCGACGCGCCAACGACGACTACGAACCACGCCGGGACGCTGATTCTCAAGGACCCCCTTTGTCTCGGTCACATTTTGACAACCGCCGTGCCAACAATGACGACAGTGTGCCTGATTACCAGCCAGGTTTGGGACGTCGACCACGCTCTCTGTCTCCGGCATATTCGCCTTCGTCGCGCCACTGCTCTACAGCCGACGTCAGTGGAAGGAGGTCACCAAGTCCACGCCGGGGAAACTGAAGGCAGCGACGTCCAGGGGTGAGGACACGGCGAGACCCATTCACCAGAATGCTTATCGTGTAGCTCTAAAGGAACGCGAAGCCATACAACAAGTCGTGAAATTGCTTCAAGATGACGTCATTCACAACAACAAGTCGTGAAATTGCTTGAAGATGACGTCATTCAACCGTCACAGAGCCTCTGGGCATCACCTGTAGTGCTAGTAAAGAAAAAGGATGGCGCCCTGCGTTTTTGCGTGGACTACAGGAAGCTGAATCGGGTGACCAAAAAAGATGTGTATCCGCTCCCACGTATTGATGACTCCCTTGACAGACTTCGGCACGCTCGCTACTTTTTTTCCATGGACTTGAGGAGTGGATACTGGCAGATCAAGGTAGACCCAAGAGACCGGGAGGAAACAGCTTTTGTGACGCCAGATAGTTTATACAAATTTAAAGTCTTGCCTTTCGATTTGTGCTCCGCGCCAGCAACTTTTCAAAGGCTTATGAACACGGTACTTTCGGGATTGAAGTGGAAGACGTGCCTAGTCTACCTGGATGAGGGTATAGTGTTTTCGAGCGCTTTTAATGAGCATCTCAAAAGACTGGAAGTTGTTTTACGTGCCGTACGGTCCGCAAGCCTAACATTGAAATCAGAAAAGTGTCAATTCTGTTTTCACGAACTTCAGTTTCTCGGTCACGTCGTCAGCAACGCAGGCGTCCAGCCCGATCCTGGAAAAATTGCCGCCGTCGCACACTTCCCAGTACCCTCCAATAAGAAGGCTGTCAGACGCTTCCTGGGCCTTTGTGCCTATTATGCTGTGCTATCCAAAGAAGCGCAGCAGCGGAGGTAGCCAAATGTTTCATAGAAAATGTTGTACTGCGACATGGTGCACCATCCGTCATGATAACAGATTGCGGGCCTACATTCACGGTGGCTCTTCTTGAGCACGTCTTGATGTTAAGTGGAATGAGTCATCGAAAGACCACTGCCTACCACCCACCGACGAATGGACTGACAGAGCGCCTGAACAAGGCAATTGATGATATGCTGTCGATGTACGTGTACGTTCGACATAAAAATTGGGACGAGATCTTGCCCTATATTATGTTCACATACAATACAGCCAAGCAAGAAACAACTCGAATGACTCCATTCAGCCTTGTTCACGGACGGGAAGTATGGACAATGCTAGATACCATGTTACCACATGAATGGAACGACAATGACACGGGCGCCGACATGTATACCAAACGCGCGGAAGAAGCCAGGCAGCTCGCATACTTGGGCATTCGCCAGCAACAACATTACGATGCAGGTCGCTACAATGCCCACCGGAGAGCAGTAATCTACGAAGCCGGTGAGCGAGTGTGGGTTTGGACACCCATACGAAGATGTGGACTGGCTGAGAAACTCTTAAGGCGATACTTCAGACCATATAGAGTATTGCGAAAGTTAAGTAACGTCACCTACAAGGTCGTGCCCAACAGTCCCTCTTGCCCCAGGCGTCAACCGCAACGGTGTGAGCTTGTACATGTGGTACCCATGAAGCCATATGTCAGTGATTGACTGCGTTTTCCCACAACGGTCGCTCGAATGTAGCATCGGGGCGATGCTCCTATAAGGAGGGGCAAGTGACACGTGTAGATACGTAGAAGAGAACGACGATGGAGGTGTTTCGCAGACTCGGGGTAGTGGGAAAGGAGGTTGGAAAAAGGAAGACGAAGAAGGCCTCCGTTTGTTGGTTGTCCCAACAATTTGCACACTTGCACTGCTGGCAAAGTTCTTGCCAGCAGCACCTACTTCGAAAACTAAGTTCGAAAGCTTCAACGTGATCATGTTTACCAACCAAAACACATTGCCAATTTCGTCACACTGGCCATTAATTAATTATTTATTTTAACAGAAAGAATGGGCAAATGATCGCTTCATGACATGCTGACGCAGCGATAAAGCAGGCGACATGATGCCCCCGTGTCAATACTGTGTTGCAGTGAAGATGTCTTGTTTTCCGCAGGTGCTCATTTTAGTTGGCTACATTATTTTTTCTTTTTGTTTATTTTCGTGGCAGCAGCAAGGGCCGCCATTTCCCCGTGTTTGCAGCAGAATTGGGACCAGGTATTGCTGACAGACATAACTGTTTGTAGCGAAGTTTGGACCAGGTATTGCTGACAAACATGACTGTTAGAGCCGCAAACTAGCCAGCACAGGAAATGACCAGTCCTGATTATTTTGAATAATTCCAAGTTTCTTGCATCCCACTTCTTTGTATGATCTGTTAATTTGAAAACCTGCCTAATCAGAAAATTTTTTATGGCCCCAGTGATTCCAAATTACTGTAATAATGGTTAAAACTAGGTTGGTGTGAGGTGTGAATTTTAGGTTTGAAATGAATTCAAAGCAAATAGTGACTTTGATCAAATAATTTCGAATCGTATTCGAATGATATGTATGACACATAAACAACAAAAAGGGAATATTTATCATGACCTCACGAACCTGCACAACATTTAATTTGAATTGAAACAGGGGCTCTATGCAAACGCCTTTTTTTTTTTTTTTTCGTTCAAAGGAAATCGAAACAATGTTGAGTAGTAGTTTCGGTAGGATGCAATTGATAACCTGTAAGATACTTAACGTTTTAAAATTTACTATACTTTGAGCATATAAGCCGTCAGAATCGGCTTAATAAAATGAATTGATTTGAGGGCAACGTGTTCCTTTAAAGGGGCCCCGCTACACTTTTTCAAGAAGCCATGGAGCCAGTAAACATGCTTGTTGCCTCACAAATTTACTGCCTCAAAGTTTCTAGAATCAGTCCAGTATGAGTGGAGTTTCAAAAATTTGTTGCACGCTGGAATTGCATTCTCTCTTCTTCTCCCGACGAAATAGCTGGAAGCTAAGCGGGGAGGAATGGCACGACGAAAGAAAATATGTCACACACACCTCGTGACCTTGAGCATGTCTTTTTTTTTTTTTTTCGAGTGTGCAGCTTTTTATTGCAATCGCGCACATACTCGTGGACAAGCAGCGGCCTCCCGCGGCGGCCCGGTAAGATGAGCGCGCCATGCTCAAATCAGCCGATGGCTGTGACCAGAGCCGTATACCTTATTTACCTGCATAATTTGCACACCCCTACTAATTTGCCAGGTTTACCGAAAAAAAAATCACTCGCATATTTCGCGCTCCCCAACATGCCCGAGCCAGTTTGCCAAAGCGCGCACCTTTGGACCTTTAGATGCTTCAGCCAGGTCAGCGCAGTCCTACAAGCTGCGAGTGTGAAATCCCTTCTTCAGAGGATTTCCCACAAACTAGGTTTCTTAAAATACCATGCCCGAACGAAACCTGTTGACTGGTCGCTGAAACTGCTCGTGCGTTTGCCTCCCCCCTATTTCCCAATCTCGATAATAGAGGCTTTGAGCAGACGACTTTCTGCGCCACAGGTGTGCGAGGGCCTGTTGTGCCAATTGTTCCCCTCGTTTTTTGCATCCGCGCTGCAACGCATGCTTGGTTGATTTCGGAAATTGCAGTTTCGCCATCCGGCTGATGCGTTTTCAAGGTTCTCTTGTGGTGCGCTACAGTAATTATATATACAGTGAAATTGAAGCTCGCTGTTGTAAATTTCGCTGAAGAAAACAGGAAGCATGCTGCCACAAGGAATTTCAAGAGGACGTATGTACTTCAATGCGACGACCGCGCGATCGGTTTGCGAGAAAGCAGAAGAGTGCGCGCTTGCTAATGCAAGTTTCCTGCCACTGAAAGAGGCCTTTTCAATTTATGTGCAGATGCTTAGTTTTTCTGGTATCGCCTTGTCGTGGGACCTAGTTTCTCCCAGTATTGTCGAAAGAGCTTCAAGAAGATGGGGTGTTCAAACACGCTTGATGGAACCGAGGACGAAGCGCTATGGGAGGGCGGTGGCAGCAGCTGCGACGATTCCCAATCGGGCTTCACGATCAGTGATTCCCGCCAGACCGTGCGTGACCGGATCTGACTAGTTAAAGTACGCGCTAATTCTTTCAAAGTACACTCAGTTTGTGCTGTAATTTATTCCTTCTTTTTTTTTTCCTGAATGTATATACTGGGTGCGTAAGGACTGTGACCCAATATTTCCTGTGCGCTCGCGAAATCCCCGCGTAATTTGCACACCCCCTTCTCGGGGCCCCAAAATCACAAAATAAAGTGCGCAAATTATGCGAGTAAATATGGTATTCCTTCTTGAGCTGTGACAAGTGATTTTTGAGCTTATTGTTACCGTCGCTACCATACAGTTTGCGCTCATAATGATGCAGACTCTGCTGCCTTAGTATCGTTGCCCGCAAATGCTGTTTTCGTTCCTCTTTTGCTTTGCACATTTGCAGCGCATCACTCTTGGCGGGCTTCAAGAATCATCCGAATTAACCGGGTTGCGGCCAACTGTGGGCAAATCAATGAGAGTTTGATGCCATAAACATTACATGTGATGACTAGGACCAGAGAATGCATTCGAATTATTCGTTTTTTTTTTCTAATTAATAGGCACCACATTAAAAACCTTTTAATCTATTGTGGTGCTACAATTCTTCACGATTGCCTTTGATGTTTTTTTTATTTATTTATTATAAATAACAAGTAATGTTTTTATTACAGCTATTCGACTCTCAACTGTTGCTAAGCTGCATTGTGCCCCAATGGCTGTTAGCTATACAGCAAAACTTTGACATTTGCAAAATCTGTAAAATCGACATTTTACTTCTCTACATGGAAAGTTCACTACATTGAAATCCTACCTTTTATGCAAAGCATTCGGGGAAGTTCCAGCTAACTTTGACATAGCGTTGAAAAAAAACCAGAGATTTAGAGAAACCATTCGAACTGCACACTCGCAGTACTCCTGTGTGCCTACAATTAGTAAATTTATCATCACTAAGTATTAAGTAAACATATGTTTCTATTTGTACAATGTTTTGATTATTATTTTAATTTTTAAATTGTCAGTTATGAAGTTGTCGGCCACCTCAAGTCATCTCTGGATAAACCATTTATTGCTTGCTGAAATTCGCCTGGTTGCCTTTTTGAAGGAAAACCGAAAAAGTTCACGCAGTACTGAAAAATGAAATAGAGTAGTGCTCACGTGCCACTAATCAAGCCCTTCGATGTAAACTTTGATGAATACATGGCCGAATTTGTTTACAAATTACACGGGAAAATTCACTGCTCGTGCATTGATAAGGGTGGTGCAGTCAGCTGCATTGATTGGGGGGATAAAGTTGCAATTTATAAATGGAAAGCAATTAACGTGCACTTAGGAGTATCAATTTTATTCTCTGCTCTCGTTATGTAGCACGAGGCTGTTGAACGTTAACGTTAGACTTGTGTGAACAGTAAGTTTTAGGTTCAAAGTGAATAGCGATTTGGTCAAATAATTTATGATCGAGTTCGAATAGTATATACACTCAAACCTTGATATAATGAGCCCGAATATTAGGAAATATCAGTTATAACAAAGTAAATGAAGAGTACTTTTGCAGTAAGACCTAGTGCTAGGAATATATCTTTATAATGAATTTTTGGATATATCGAACCTATTTACTGCAAGATGCAACTTTGTTATAATGAGGTTTGAGTCTATCACGCATTTTAAAGAAAAATGGGCATCTTTGTCATGAGGTAAATAACCTGTGCAATATTTCTAGAAAATTGAAACAAGGACTGTGCATATGCCATTTTTTTTAAAGGAAGTTCAACGACATTGAATAGTAGTAGTATATGAGTTTTGGTAGAATGCAAGTTATAACCTGCAAAATATGTTAGGTTTCAATATTTGCTCTATGTAGAGCATATAAACCAGTTTAATAAGCCTTTAAACTTAATAAAGGGTGATTTGACGTGAGGGTACTATGTTCATTTAATATTGAAGTGGGGCTTCATGGCAAGGCGGGTTTGGCTTTTCCCCACTGCACTGAAAACACCTTTACTAGGGATTACATGTGAATTATATAATATTGTAATACTTGTTCAAATATTTGCACAAGCTTAGTTAATTGTATGCCTAATGCCACACAAGACAACACAGTTGCATGACTATATGCCAGTATATATCTCACTGCCACTTATGTTGCAAAGCCTATTTAATCATTATACGTGGCAGATTCCTGTATAATGTGGCAATAAACAAATGAAGATGTGTATTCTTCAGCATTTTCTTAGACGCACGTGTATTTCATATTTTGCAAGCTGACACCGGTAATGTGTCCTGTATACCCAGCGCGACTAATAAATCTTGTGTCCACCTCTGTGCATTTGCTACGCAGTGTGGTGGCTGTTCCTGTCTATGTCCGGCACCAGATAAGCTTCCGGGAGGCAGGCGGTGGCCGACTAGACATTAGCATTGGACCCAAGCAGACAATGGGAAAAACAGTACGTTTGCTTTTTAAGCTATCTCTGTTTTTTTCTGTGCTCATGGGAGCAGATACCGTTGCATGGTACTGTGGAAACAGGCAGACAGGCATCGATACTGTCAGACCACAATTTATATATTTCGTCTGCAGCCATTTAATCGGATGTAAAAAAAAGGCTCTATCATCCTTCTCTAACGACATGGTCGTACATGGCCAACTGCGAAGTGAACCTATGACGACGGAACACTGACTCTACGGCGATGAACAAAAGTCTAATAACCAGCATGCAGGGAGCGGGAGAGCGGAAACCTTAGGCTCATGGGGTTGTGTCGAAAATGACGGTACCTGGTGAGAGGTCATGTCTGTCTTGGCTTTGGGAAGGACTGCGAAAACTGTGGTGCTCAAGCTCCTGGCAGCTGTAGGCCGAGCGAAGTGGCTGAGGGAAGTGCAAACCAGGAAGCGACAGCGATCAGGTGAAGTCAGCGTCACCAATTCGGGAAAACAGGCAGACAGACATTGAACCCATCAGACCACAAGTTATATATTTCATCTGAAGCCATTTAGTCAGATGCAAACAAGAACAGGCGCGAGGATCTCATGCTTGGTGTGTCGTCGTCTTCTGATTCGTACTAGGACGCTACAGTACCTTCACCTAAAACTCGGTCACATTCAATTTAGTTGTTTGGAGAGTCTCTGACTAAACCTAGTGTTAAATTATAGTTGGGACATCAATGACCATGGGGACATCAATGACCTTGGAAAAAGGGCACTAGACTTGTGTGACTAACTTTTCTCCCATGCTTCATAAGAGGGCCTCAAACACATGAGTTGTGAATTTAAATGCTCATTTGGTTTGCACTGATAGTTTTTTTCATTTGAACCTGGTTTATTTGAAGGCTTAGAGGACAGAAGGTTTGTTTGAATTAATTGGAGTTCAGACTGGTGGAGGTCCCTCTATTTAATTGTACAGTGCACAATATGGTTGAACTTTGCTACGTAGCACCTGTTATATTTCTGGAGGCTGTGTTTTCCCAGCTGCTAACTCACTTTCAGCCAGTGATAGCATAGTTCCCTAATGATTGAATACATTAACAGCCCCACTGCAATGTTGCAACTTTAAGACCCCTCCCCTATGAGACATTGTGAACAGTCCATAGAGTATGTGTGTACTTTTCGCACAGCTTGGCCTGGCATGGAGACCTCACCTATGATGTGGGAATTCCCGCCAGCAAAATCATGCCTCCCCCCCCCAGATCTGTGTCTGTGATGCCATTAGTTTTGCTTATGCTGTTAGCAAAAGCGAGGGCTCTGAGATAGGTCTGGTTTCTCCGTTTCGGGGGTGTTGACTCGTCGTTGCTTATGCTTCCCGCGGTCTTTGATCGGTCTTTTGATTTTTGTTTTGGCTGTGTTTTAAGACCTAGCACAGCCTACAATCGATCGGGCTCATATGCAACGAGCCAAGTAATTGTGACAATGTATACAAGCTAAGCTTGTTCTTATACTTAAGGTATGACTGGCCAACTACAGGAGGACAACAATTATGTAATGCCTTTAAAAGGGTGCCACACAAGAAATTAAAATCAACAAAATGACCGCAATGCCGCTGTCACAGAACGAGCGCTAAAAATGGGCGCGCCGCCAAATTCTTGCAATAACGCGCGGGAGAGACGCCGGGAGGTCAAAAGAAAAAAAAAAGAAAACAAACATCCAAGGCTCCCCGGGCGCGCGCTCTCCCCTCGGAAGCGTGGCTTCGCCGACGAACCTCCTCACCCCACATCCGCGGCCGAGCAAGGCCGCGAAAAAGAACGAAAGAGGCGTGGTCACGCCGGGTTGAGTCATCCATCGCGGAGGGCATTCCAACCGTCTCGCCCTCTCCCCAGCCTTTGCTGCGTATCGCGCCAACGAAATGACGAGAACCTTCTGGAATCTCGCGCCGAAGGTATTTAATCGAGCAGCCGAGACGAGAGGGCAGGAGAAGACGGAAGTTAGCGCCAGAGTGCGTAGGGTATCCCGCCGTGTAGTCGGCGAAGGTTTTGTCCGTAGGGACAAAGCAGGAGAAGAAGAGGATTTCCACCTGAGGGGTGAAGGCTCGAGCTACAGGCAAGAGCGTGTGTTTACCGCTATCGAGCGAAGACGCGTGGCAACAGCTGCGTGTGTGAAGCCAACGTGGTTCCGGCGAAGAAGTTTGAAGCTTGGAGAGTGGCCATTTGAAGACGCGAGGTTTCCTGGAAGAGAAACTTCGGCGAGGTTTCCTGGAAGACAAAACTTCAGGGGCAGCGGAACGACAACAACGCTGGACTTTGAGTGAGTGATTCTCGGAGGAGTATCATCCAGACTTTTGTTCCAAGAACTTTGGACTGAATAGGTTTTCTATCTCTTTAGTCTTTAAGTGTCTTGGTTGTTCAATGCATGCGACTGCATTGTAGTGCGTATTGTTGTCTGTGTTCGTTGTTTCGAGAGTGGCTGATTGTACTGTGTAGTACGTTGTTTGATTGGTTTGATTGGTGACATATTGTATGCAACTATTGTGGAGTGTGCATTTTTGTGTATTGTTTTCGATCTGCCATTATTGAGAATATAATTTTGTTTGTTTATCAACTCTCGGCTCTGACTTGTTCTTTGGGCCACAGCCGGCGTCCGCTGGCGCGCCAAAAAGGACCACTTCTAAATTGTCCACGCTTTCGTGGTGCGGTTCGGGGGGCCGATACTTCGGCCCTTGGAATTAGCCCGGCGATCGCCTCCCTAATTAACGGGACCTGTGTGCGACAATTAATCTGGCGTCCGCGACAGGACCTTTTGGTGCACAGTGTGTCCAAATTAGTGAGAAAGAGCCTCGAGTTGTTGATAGTGCTATCGGAACGATTTGGTGTGTTGTTCAGTGTTCTCGTTAACGAGTGCAGGGAGAGTGTTCCGATAGACTGATTTAGGCTGATACTTTTTGCACGCGGCAAGGTTTTATTTGCGAGACACCATGGATCTCGAAAAGTTAGTAGCTCTTGGTGAGAAGATGGGTCTTTCTGGCGCCGAACTATGGAAGTGGGTCACCCAGAAGGAAAAAGACGAAAAAGAGAGGGCCAAAGAAGAAAAGGCAGCTGAGCTGGAAAAAGAAAGGTTGGCGGTCGAAAGAGCCAAAGCCGAAAAAGCAGCTGAGTTGGAGAGAGAGAGAGGTTGGCAGCTGAGAGGGCCAAGGAAGAAAAAGCAGCTGAGTTGGAGAGAGAGAGGTTGGCAGCTGCGAGAGAGAAGGAAGAAAGAGAGGCAAAGGAGCGACAGCTGAAGGAAGAAAGAGAGCAACAATTGAAGTTGGAATTGGAGAGAGAGAAGTTGGCAGCTGAAAGGGCGAGAGAAGAAAGAGAGGCAAAGGAGCGACAGCTGAAAGAAGAAAGAGAGCTGCAATTGAAGTTGGAGCTGGAGAAAGAAAGACTGGCAGCTGAGAGGGCGAAAGAAGAAAGAGAGGAAAGGGAACGGCAGCGACAGCACGAGATGGAACTCGAGCGGCTCCGTTTGCAACAGCGAAGTGAAACTCCCGTCCAAGCTAGAGTTGAAAGCAGCGAACGGGAGGACCACGGCTTCCGCTTGAACCCAAGCAAGCTGCTCGTAGCGTTTGATGAAAGGAAGGACGACCTTGACGCGTACCTTCACCGATTTGAGACGATTGCGAGGAGCCAGAATTGGCCGGAACATCAATGGGCAACTGCTTTGAGTACTTGCTTGAGTGGTGAAGCGCTCAGTGTGTACGGTAGGCTGACGCCGACCGATGCAGCCAACTATGCAAAGGTGAAAGCTGCTTTGCTGAAGCGATTTAGATTTACCGTGGAAGGATTCCGGGACAGATTTCGGACAGGAAAGCCAGCTGATGGTGAGACGGCTACGCAGTACGCTGCCCGACTTGGCCATTATTTCGACAGATGGATTGAACTTTCAGGGACAGCGCAGGAGTACGATGAGCTTAGAGAGCTCCTAATTAGAGAACAATTTCTTACTAGTTGCCACCCAAGCCTGTCGCTGTACTTGAAAGAGAGGAGAGCTAAGTCACTTGAAGACATGCTTGAATTGGCTGATCAATTCTTGGAAGCGCAAGGTGGAACTAATTTGGCCAAGGTCAAGAAGGAGTGTCCCGAAGACTCAAAAAATCTGGCACCCGAACCAAAGAAGCGTGCACCGGAGAGTGTTCCGAGATGTTTCCTGTGTAACCGAGTGGGTCATCGCGCGAGCCACTGTCGTACTAACTTTACGAGCCCTACGGTATTAAAATGTTTTAAGTGTGGTCAGACTGGGCACAAAGCAGACGCATGCCGAAACGGGGCGAGTCAAACTCACCAGGTATCCTGTGTGCAAGCGGCACCGAAATCCGGTAATAATGCCATCACAGATGGATTCGTAGAGTTGAAAAATGGGGAGAAAATTCCTATTGTGGGTGCTGTAATGGCAAAACAGCCGACCGGTGTTACGAAGGGAATGCCAATGCTGCCTGGAAAAGTTGCGGACAAAAAGATTACGGTGTTAAGAGATACCGGCAGGTCCACTGTTATCGCGCGGAGAAATTTGGTACGGGAAAGTGAGTTGACAGGCAGAACGAAACCGGTTTGCCTAATTGACCGTACGGTTCGGATGCTTCCCGAAGCAGAGATTGAGGTTGAAACCTCGTACTTCAGCGGGAAGGTTACTGCTTTCTGCATGACGACCCCCCTTTACGACCTTGTCATCGGAAACATCGACGGGGCGCGAGGACCGAATGATCCGGAATGTTTGGGAGAAGACCCTAAGATAGAGTCCTCGCCAACCCAGCGACCGCGAGATACAAGGGAGGAGCCGCCCGTGACGGATCTCACTAGAGCCCAAGGTGAAGCCGCGGTACAAGAGACCATGAATGAGAAGATGATCGTGTTGAATGAGTTCACGGGCCGAGCAACTGGACTTACGTCGGCACGACCTCAACCGACCCACAGTGTAAAGGAGACGGAGTTGGCCAGCCGGGCAAAATGTAGAGACATGATCAAGCTGGTAAATAAACAGACAGGA